ATTAAATTACCAAATGGCACATGTGAAATCCAACCTCCTCTTTCTCCTGCCAGCCTCTATGCAGACTTCCTAATCTCCTCTATCCACCCCCTTTCAAATTTCTCTTCTCTGATGGCATCCCCATCTCACTTCATTGCCTTAATTGGACAAGAGATTAAAGATGTCAAACACTTTTACTCTTTTCACACTAGATAATTTTTGTAGTATCCAATCTCTCCCAGAGTCAGACCAGTCCTAGACAAGGGAGAGTTGTCAGATTTCATAAAGAAGGAGACCTGCAAGAAGATGTGGTATATAAGCACAATGGAATACTATTCGGCAATCAAAAAAAGATAAACTCATGCCATTCAAAGAAACATGGATGGAGCTAGAAGGGATCATGCTCAATGAAATAAGCCAGAAGGAAAAAGAAAAATATTGAATGGTTTCGCTTATTGGAGGAATACAGGAGACGCAAATAAGGGATCAGGGAAAAAAATAATAACAAAACAAAACCAGCGGACAACTATAAATCAGAGACACTCTGCAGGGGAGGGGGAGAAAAAGGGATCAAAACAGGGGAGAGAAGAGCACAAGGGACTATGGTGATGGTTCATGGGTGAACTGGTGGTAGGAATTTTACAGGGAATACACAATGATGTAAAAGTCACACACACACGCACACACACACACACTCACACATATGGAGATCTGCCCTTCACTTTGTCCAACCACTAAAGATCAAGAAAGCTTCTTGAACATGGGATCCAAGGTCACCAGGAAGATACCAATTATAATAGTCGTGTCATAGAAACATCAATTCCAAAGAACACCTGCACCCCTGTGTTTATAGCAGCACTGTTTACAATAGCTAAGCTTTGGAAACAACCCAAATGCCCAAAAATAGATGACTGGATCAAGAAGATGTGGTACATATATACCATGGAATATTACTCAGCATTCAAAAAAGATAAACACATGCAATTTGCAGCAACATGGATGGCGCTGGAAGGGATCATGCTCAGTGAAATAAGCCAAAAAGAAAAAGAAAAATACCGGATGGTCTCACTCATAGCAGGAATCTAGAAAACTTAAATAAGGGACCAGGAAAATGAATATAAGAAAGTGAAAATCAAAATCAACAAAAAACTATGAACCAGAGACACTTTTTGGGGGGTGGGGGGTGGGAAGGGAAGGATTGGGGTCAGAATGGGGCTTTTGCAATTGTATGGGGGAATATAAAAATAAAATTTATTATTTAAAAAAATAATAATAATAGTCGTGTCAAAGGTGAGACTTGGAAGGAAAGGTTAGCCCACCTTGCAACCATATAAAGGATGGCCTTGAGAAAGCCCTTTCCCCCATATACCTGGACTGATATCTCTTGTAAAAAGTGAAAATAGGGCCTCCCCTGGTGGCGCAAGCAGTTGAGAGCAGCACCGTGAAGCTGTCCACTGCCTCTGCAGCACAGGTTCGATCCCTGCCGGCCAGTGAGGGTCCCACATTGCGAGCAGACCTCCCCTGTCTCCCCCGCTGCTCCCCTCAGCAGTGTATTTCGTCAGTCTGCCTGTTCTGTTACCTGCTCTGTCTCCGGTGAATCCTCTCACCCTCCTGCAAATCTGGCCTGTACCCCGGGCTGTATAATAAATAAAAATCTTTTTTAAAAAAAGTGAAAATAACATCACATGGTTGAGAAAATTAGGGAGAAATACATGTTACTGAACCTATATAGAGAGGATGCATACTCCTGCATTAGGAGTTGCTAGGGAAACCACCTCTCCCCCTTCCTAAGGCAAAACACAGACTCTTTAGATTTAGCACTGGAGCAAAAATCCCGGGAGTGGAGGGTGAAATGATCTAGTGGCCCAGCACACCAGTGCTGCTGAGTTAGAGCTCATGTTCTGTAATCTAACAGATTTAGAGTCAAATCTCAACTCATTTACTTCAGAGCTGTGCTGGACGATTAGGAAAATGATCTGGGTCCCTTGAGTCTCAGAACCGCAGCACAGCTGTGAGCACATGTGAAGTGCACACGTGGTGATGTCCACTGGTATTTTTAGGATGGGATTATCTTCTCTTGAGCTTATCACTATTGCTGATGCCACATTAACTCCCAGGAGGATAATCATTTATAGTGGCTTTTCCCGCCTATTAACAAATAGGTAGGTATACACAAGAATATATTTACAATATTGCAATCTTACTACTAAATGGTAGAGCTGGGATTTGAACCTGTGTCTGCTCCAGAGCCACAATGAAGACTTAGGAAAGAATCCCAAACCACAGGGATATTACACTTAGATTGCCACAAATGCCAACCATATAGAAAGCAGAGGAAATTCTTATTCCCTTCTCCCCACCTCCATACTCAATTCCCTCCTATTTTCTCTCCAAAGAAGGATAATGGGCTAATATTATTGGTGAGAGAATAAGACCCAGTAGGTCACTCTGACTTGTAGATGCAGTTTGTGAGCCATTTTCCACTTGCTCTTTGTCATTCTTTCTTTCTCCCTGTAAACAGTTAAGTGGGTAAGTGGAATAGAGTCTATTTTGCCTCCTCAAATTCCTTACCCAGTGGGTATGGACAGAGGGTAGAAAAAATGTGAGGAAAGATGTAAGTCGAGACTCTGAACTTTCCTAAAGTGCTATCTGATTGTCGGTGACCATGTTCAGAAGAACTGGCAGTCTACCCATGGTAAATTTGGCCTCGTTGTTCCTGATACAGCCATGACGGGCAATCAGTCCAATTTGTACGTGATTTTGATCATTTCTGACATTTCAAATGAACATTCCAGCCTCCTGATTATGCCATAAATTCTGGAACTGTGAAGACTATATCTACTGATGTATACATAAATAATAATCCTGATCTGTCTTTCCACCTAAAGGACCCGTATGTGATGATTAATTCTGTATCAACTATGGGTCATGGGGTTCCCAGATATTTGGTTAAACATTTTGGTGTGTCTGTGTTTTTTCCAAATGAGATTAATATTTGAATCAACAGAAACTATGAAGTAGATTGTCTTCCCCATGTGGGGAGATATTATTCAATCCTTTGAAAACCCTAATAGAGCAAAAAAGTGGAGGAAGGAAGCATTCTCTCTCTGCCTACTTCCTGGAGTTGGGACATTAGTTTTACACTTTAGGGCTGGGACTGATACCTGGTTCTCAGGTCTTCTGACTGGAACTAACCCTCTTAGTTTTTAAGCTTGTCCTTATCTCTTAGTTTAATTACTTTATATTCTGCACATGGAAGCTGACTATAGAACTGAAGCATCCAGGTCGGGGGAGGGGAAGGAGAGAAAGTTGAGAACAAAGAGAGAAGGGAGCACAATAGACTTTGGTGGTGGTCAATGGGTGGTTTGTTGGGTGCACTACAGTGGCAATACCTGACGGGGAACCCCAATATTACCTCATTTAAAAATTAATTTTTAAAAAAGATTTACATTCAGATCTCATTGTATGGACAGTCATATTTATTTTTGGCTTGCCTGTTAATGGATTTCAAATGTTGGTGTGACTAAAGAGCTAAGAGCGCATGTACCTCTTCACATGTAAATCCCATTGAAAAAGACACTCTGAAAAGTAGGAACACCACAAAATGGTTTGAAAGCACTCATGTACCTGGAAATGCTAATTACAGATGATATAGTGTTAAACAATTAGAAAGTGCTTAATTTCCAATAGCAGGGAATGATGAATTAAACGCAAGATAGTTCCTGAAGGGAATACTATCAACAATTTGAATTATGATTGTAAAGATTATATAACCACATACCCCGATGGAAACATGTAGAAAACAACATTAGTGAAGAAAGTTAAATATATTTTGTTGTCTTGCAACAAAGCTTAAGATGCATGAGCTAGCAATAGACTCCCCCCTTTCAGGCCCCACACTCTTCAGTTTCTTCGTTTTGGGTGTGCTTAGAGTTTCACAAAGCAGCCAACACTGTGAATCTACTTGAGAGCTACTTCTACATAGGATATATGTTGGGGGTATGAGAGGGGACACAAGAAAACCCTTTCACACAAAAGTACCTTGGCTCCTTCTCCACGTGTGTTCCAGTAGGCACTGAGCACCGACACTGGGCTCGAAACGAATCTGAGGAAATTTATGCTGACACTTAGTTCCACATCTGGAAGTGCTGAGGGTCAGTTATGTTTCTGAACATTGTGGTCATTCTGTCTCTGAGCAAAACTTCAACATACCTCAAGGGCAAGAGTTCTCCTTTCCAGATGCTTGGAGCATTCCAGCACCTGATTTTCCCCAAATAGAATGGGTATCAATATTCAGACCACAGGATTACATTTTCCAGTGTTTTCTGCTGGAAAAATCCAGACCTGTGTAGCTCTGCTACCTTTTAGGCTCTGGCCATAAAAAGACATATTTTAAATAACACTCCCTCGATTAAATATATGATTTGAAATGTTTTT